GTCATGGATTTTTTTTTAAAATAAGAGTTTTAAAAAAAAAAAAAAAAAAAAAAAATGTAAATGTCTTTTGAAATGATAGCAATACATACATTAAAGTTACACTAAACTCAGGAGTTATGCGCATGTGCAGTGTTGACATGGGACCTGCAGATTCATGTTAAAGTGATATTAAAGCATCCTTTTTTAAAAAAAATATTTCCTACAAGGAGACCCTCCTTTGCTTGAGGCTGTTGCCGTTTCTTTAAAAAAGTTTTTAATTCCTTATTTTCTAGTGGGTCCCCGCAGCAATCTTCCCCCTGTACGTGTGCCACCATCGTTTTAATGGAGGCACCCGTGCGCGCTTGTGCCCGCAGTGGCTGTGTGCATCCATAGACACACAGCCCTGTGGCAGGCCACGCCCCTTCTCTCTGATTGATGGCAGAAGGAGCCTATGGCTCCTCTGCCATCGGTATTCTCTCCCCCCAACCAGGAAGTTCGGGGAACGGAGGATCACTTAGGGACCAGCGGCGGGGACGAGCATAGCTGTCAGATAAGTGTGGGGGGGACTGGGGGAGAAAAAAGGTGCTGGTCCGTTTTTACCCTAATGCAGAGAATGCATTAAGGTAAAAAAGGTCCGGAACGTAATACTACTTGAAGTGTGAATTTAAAGAAAAGCTATACTGAAATACGGGGGATGCCATTGGTGACAGCCTTAAGGGAATGCTAGATACTAGGCTATGACTTAAAATAAACATTCAGTACTTAGTCAAAAGTCCTCATCCACAAACTTTTACAATAGCCAGTGAGGTCGCTTGGTAAGTCTTGAAGTCATTGAATTATTCAGAGAACTAGCATTGGCTGCCTACATGGTTTTTTCAATACAGGTTTACTGATCCCATGTTTTCAGTATGCAAGATATAACCTAGTACGATCTTAAAGGTTCCTCCCCATACATGCAGCTGCTTGATTTGCTACCTTTAGTCTGTTGACTACCATAAAGTGCCTGAGTTTTGCCTGCCCCCTGACCCTTCCTATTAGTCGGTGTGGCTGCCCATCATAGTGATTACGTTTAAAGCACCTTCAAACATTGAAGCACCTGTCTTACCTACGGTTCAGGAGAACAGAGGGGGTGCTGTACGGGCTATTCACAATAGCCCGTACAGCTCCCGATCACAGCCGAGCGGCTCAGTCGAGCGCTGAGCCGTGCTGAAAGACGCAGCTGGCCGAGTTGTGTGTGTGTGTGTGTGTGTGTGTGTGTGTGTGTGTGTGTGTGTGTGTGTGAATACGAATCCATGTGTGGTCTAGTTTTTAAGAGTACCTGTACCCCTGTATGTTACAGTCTCTGAGGAAGCTAATTATTCAAAAATCAATTAGATAAAGATTCTCTGCAGATACCACTGGGAAATGTAACCGCTCTGACTGAAAAGAATCCGCTACGCCCTTTGCGGTTAAATCTTTTTGCCACCAATTTTGGGTGGTGGCCTCTAGTATTTAAAAAATGTAAAGTACAGCGCTAGAAGCCTCTCGGTGCAATAGAAAAAAGGCTATAGTTGGTGTAGTATCAGTAATACATAAAATGCATTTGTAGAGGGAATATTACTCACATCTATGTAAATAAATGAATACGTGAAGTGCCAACTAATAACAGCACAAAACCAATGGGTGCGAACCTAAATTAGTGCTGAAAAATATGTGAAACATCTATAGAAGCAACAATGTGTCAAATACAACTATTGAAGCAGCTACAAAGTGCTCTGAAAAAATTCATTAACGTGAACCAATAACATAACAAAATGTAGCAACTAAGTATGTACAATGTAGAAAAAACAGAGTGATGAAAGTGTTTTTTAAATTTCTCCTGATTAGCCGAATGAAACAAAAGAGGATCCTCTGTTAAGATAAAGCAGAGGAAACGTATAACAATCACCGAAAGGAAGTCCGTATTTCAGTCTTTTTTCAGATGCATATAGAGCAAAAAAACTAAAATGTGTATATAATAATGTGATGTATTTGTTCTTCCAAAAACCAGCCCAATAGTGAGATCAAATACGTTTCTGCGTAGTGGTGTGCCCAACGAAAATCGGAGGAGGTCCCCTCAAGTATATGCACTCGCCAGATCTATGATGTTAGAAAGCCGTTTGTTTCGCTAGATAGACACCGGAGCTGTACACCCTCTCGTCTCTGGCGCTCGCTGGGATCCAGACGTCTAAAGCAAAACACAGATTGCTTCACTAGGATAAACCGAGAGATCTCCGTCATCGACCCTCCCTTGGATCCTAGATTATTCTTCCATAAAAAATGAAGGAAAAATGGGGAATCCGCTCATAGTGTGGTAAATTAAAGGAGGAGAACTATGACATGAGTGATTTCCACTCACCTCATAGTTCTAAGCCGACCTGTGACAATGAGACTGTCACAGGTCGGCTCAGTAGATCGGGAGGTGAGGGAACACATACCGGGTTCCCTCACCTCTCGATCCTGTCACGGCTCTCTGCCGTGACAGGGGGAGGGGCTGGATTCCCTGCTCCGATCTGCCAGCGCTGACTGGCGGAACGGACGGGGGAGGGGGCGGGTACAGCTGGCTCTGCCTCTAGGTAGGCAGAGCCAGCTGTCACTCACGCAGCTGGGCGGATCCCGTCATCTACGTCGGGATCCGCTCCAGGTGCGGCGTCTCAGTATACCGCGAGCTGTGGCTCGCGGTATACCAAGCTTAGGGTAACGGGAGGACACGGAAAAACACTGACCCCATAGTTCTCCTTTAAAAAGATTTATTGAGCAAAGGATAACAAAAATAGCGCTAAAAGTAGTAAAAGCCGGCAAGTCACTCAAGGACGTGACTCCTCAGACTGGAACTGTGACGTAACTGTAGGCCCGCCCCCCACGCGTTTCGTCGTACAGACATTCTCAAGGGATGGCAGGTCTGCAAGAGTCACGATCCAGTCTGTTATATGCACTTAAAATACAAAATCAATAATTTGGAACATGTGTGGAAACAGAGTGAAACCCATTATTATTCATAAGCAATTAACGACCAATTTAAAAACCATAATTTAAAATACTACAAATAATAGCCGGATAAAGCACAAAGAAAAAAAATGAAAATAAAAACATATCTATTAGCGTTCAATTAACCATCAAAAACCCATAAATAATTGGTTATAAGACCTATATAGGATCTATAAATTAATATTTAGAAACATTACCGCGTCATGATACATAACATTAATGAAGACAGTGTCCTGAATATTTATTATTGTATAAATGGTTCTTTAAAAGAAAGATAAGCGTATATAATTTTATATAATTTCATTATATAAATGTAAAAATATGCATAAGAACAATCTAACTCAACATGTTTAATATATTAAATGCAAATTTTGAGACCGTAAAACTGAGTATCAGTAAATAGAATGTCTAGTCGAGAATACTAGATTATCTTAATATGAATAATATTAATAGAGTGATTAGGGGTAAAGACTTTTATAACTATTTTAAAATATTGAAGAGAAACTTCAGAAATGTTTAATAATATAAAATAGAGGAAACGTTTTTATTCTTTTAGGAAAGGGGAAGGGGATAGTGGTAGGTAATCTCATGGGTAATATTCATAGAGTGTGCATCATACCCACCTGACTTCACCTGCATACTATATTAATCCTAAGTTTTTAATTGTGTTTAAAAACTTTTAAAGTTAAAAACGTAAGTTTTACGTTTTTAAATTATGAGGCCTGTGAGCACAAAATAAAAATTAAATAGTTTATATTGCTGGTAATAGAATTACAATTATTAGGGCTTTCTAACATCATAGATCTGGGGAGTGCATATACTTGAGGGGACCTCCTCCGATTTTCGTTGGGCACACCACTACGCAGAAACGTATTTGATCTCACTATTGGGCTGGTTTTTGGAAGAACAAATACATCACATTATTATATACACATTTTAGTTTTTTTGCTCTATATGCATCTGAAAAAAGACTGAAATACGGACTTCCTTTCGGTGATTGTTATACGTTTCCTCTGCTTTATCTTAACAGGAGGATCCTTTTTTGTTTTATTCGGCTAACCAGGAGAAATTTAAAAGAAACTTTAATCACTCTGTTTTTTCTACATTGTACATACTTAGTTGCTATATTTTCTTTATTATGTTATTGGTTCACATTAAGGAATTTTTTCAGAGCACTTTGTAGCTACTTCAATAGTGTATGTGACACATTGTTGCTTCTATAGATGTTTCACATATTTTTCAGCACTAATTTAGGTTCGCACCCATTGGTTTTGTGCTGTTATTAGTTGGCACTTCACGTATTCATTTATTCACATAGAAGCGAGTTATATTCCCTCTACGAATGCATTTTATGTATTACTGATACTACACCAACTATAGCCTTTTTTCTATTGCACCGAGAGGCTTCTAGCGCTGTACTTTACATTTTTAACCCTTAGGGCTTAAAAGGAGAACTATGAGATGAGTGATTTCCACTCACCTCATAGTTCTAGCCGACCTGTGACAATGAGACTGTCACAGGTCGGCTCAGTAGATTGGGAGGTGATCGAACACATACCGGGTTCGCTCACCTCTCGATCCTGTCACGGCTCTCTGCGCTGACTGGCAGAACGGACGGGGGAGGGGGCGGGTACAGCTGGCTAGTACAGAACCCCGATGCACGCCACTCTCAACCACAGACCAATCTGAAAAAGAGCCATTTATCAATATTATCTGGACACGTTCCTGTAGTCAGTTCTCAATCCATCAGAACCGGTCTCAAGAAACCTTGCCAATCACTACTCCACTCTTCAAAAGACTGACATCATGACCTGCCTGAAGAATCCACACTAATTCTCCTTAGAAGCCAGACACCAAGACCTAGCTCACAAAGCCCCATCAATCACTGGTCCCTTTTTCAGAAGGCGGACATCTAAACCTGGCTCAAGATGCACTACCAATCACGGACCTCTTTAGAAGTCTGACATTAGGACCTGGCTAAAGCATAACCCAGTCATTAGCAGTAGTGAGACGTATCTCACTCTGCCAGTCTTTCACCGAACTGCATTTCCAGCTTTACAAACTGCAGAAAGTTGCTGAGATCACTTATTTATTTCTGTAGCCATGGTAGGTCATGTGATGATCCAAAAACCAAGATAAAATGTACTTTCAGATTATTACAGAATTCCAAAAAAACAGCATAGTGGACGGTGCAATATCACTATGACATTTAAGATAACACAACAAGCCATACAGCAGGAAACCACTACATTTAGTGGAAACCAGAAGCAATCACAAGAAATATATTTCTGGCAGAAGGTGACTGATAGTTGAATCATTCTAAATGCAGTCTAACAAATAAACCAATCAGATTGAATTATTCACTATACTGACGTCAGAAAAATAAAGTCTGATTGGTCACTTGGGTTATTGCAGACATGTCCTTTTCTTTTACATTGTATTAGAACATAAGATTGTCCCCATTCTACTGAAACACACAAATCACATAAATAGAAATGTTCTTACATAAATACATTTAAAGAGAAGCAAGAAACAGAATGTTTGTACCTTCTAAAGTGTGCTGAAGTTCCAGGACCTGGTTAATCAGTCGAGTCTTTTCTTCTAATTCTACCTGATTTTCAACTTCCAGAGCTAGAAGAAATTCAAACGTGATTTGCACTAGAAGAAACATGATTTGCACTGCTGCACTTACAGCCTGAACATGGGGGGGGATTTGAAATGCACGTCAAAACTAACCTCTGAGTCTGTAGATCTGGTAGTAACATTTATGTTCAATGAGCTACACTTAAAAGCAAACCCACAATATCAAGTTTCCTGTTGTATATGTATAATGTGTATACTCTGTATAGGGTGGACAGGCAAAACCCAATATGGAGCAGACACTGCTGAGTTGCTTGGCCAGTGCAATAGCTAAATAAAAGAGCTCAGACATTTCCCAGGTACAGACGAGCATTTACTCCTTCTCAAACCTCTTGTAACACCTTTTTTTTTAAAAATAATGTTTCTTTAAAAAAGAAACCCTGTTACCATGCAAATGCAGGGCAGGATGACAGTGTTTCCTGGAAAGAGCTCCGCCCCCAATCCCTATATACCCTCCTTATCTGGGCTCACTCACAACAGCTGCTTCTCTGCAGGAATACCCGACACTCCAGGCATAGAGAAGCATGCAACCCACTCCCATGTACTGGCACCCAGACCTAAGCACCGTCTCAAGACCAGGGAAGTCATTACTGCTCCCTTTGGTTTGCTAACACAGCTAGGGCTGCAGCTAACGATTATTTTCAAAATCGATTAGTTAGCCGATTATTAAGTTCGATTAATCGGTTAATTGGATAAATAAAATACATTTTAAAAAAATTGCTCCAGTGATGGACTACTAGTTTGTATTGAGGTTGTAGTCCATCACAGGATCAAGCTTGGAGTGGTGGAAGTAAAAAAAATGGTGTGGTGTGTAGGGCTGCAGCTAACGATTATTTTCATAATCGATTAGTTGGCCGATTATTAAGTTCGATTAATCGGTTAATCGGATAAAAAAGAAAAAAAAAAGGCTCCAGTGATGGACTACTAGTTTGTATTGAGATTGTAGTCCATCACCGGAGCAAGCTTGGCGCGGTGGAAGTAAAAAAAAAGTGTGGTGTGCAATATAGTACATTATACAGCGGCGCAGTGCAGAATACCAGCAGCTATAGAGGAATGTAGCAATAGTACATTATACTATAATGTACTATTGCTGGGATTTGTAGTCCTCTGTAGCTGGCGTTATTCTCCATTGCGCTGTATATAATGTATTATTGCTGGGATTTGTAGTCCTCCATAGCTGGTGGTATTCTCCATTGCGCTGTATAATGATTATACTGCGCAATGCAGATTACCACTGACCAGTTATAGAGGAACTACAAATCCCAGCAATAATACATTATACAGCGCAAT